TTGAACAATTAAATGTGTATACAAACTTTTCTATATATATAAAAATGAATGTATGTGCGTGTGTGTGTGTGTGTGTCCTTCATGCATTACCACACCGTTTATCCGATTGCCATGAAACTTTGGAAAGTTTTTTAATACACTCCCGCGAAGTACATTTATCCTACGATAAATGTACTTCGCGTTTACATGAGCATTTACATGAGCACGCGTTTACATGAGCATTCGAGCACTGTGTTCGATCCATTTCAAATTGTGAAAACCATTTCCCCCCTCCAAAAATATCTCTATATATGCATTTATTATTTACGATATTTGTAATAATTTTTGTTTAATCACTTTATTTTAACTTTTTTTTGCTAATTATGTATTCGCTCGAACTTCGTTAAAACCTTAACTGTATCCCGAACAACAACCGAAGTTGTAGGAGGAAATTCGCCTATTTTACCGATCTAGGATCCCCCTTTTTCAAATTTTAATATCGACTCAAAATAATTTAAAAAGACAAATTACAATAAAACGGTTTATTATCCAACTATCAGAAATTTCACAACACGCCAAGGAAGAGAGAAAGGAGCAATTAAATAATCAAAATTATAAAGGATTTTAAAAAACGTATAAAAAGGAGGAATATCGCACTTTTAACAATCTCTGTGAGTATGTGGGCTAAATTTAAAGAATCCGTGCTTCTCACATGTACAGTACAACTGCATGTGACCTGTTCACGCGTCGGAAAACCTGATTTATTCGTGTACGCATCAGATGGAAAAACAAAAAATATCGTGTATCCACAAACACTCCAATAAATAAATAGAATTGAAACGACACTTTGAAATGTTTTCCCGATAAAAATGAATAATAATAATAAGTTTCAATAAAAATTATAAAATGTAAATTGAATTTTATCATAACGAGTTTGCTTGAATTTCCTTCTGAGATCGCAGCAATGCTCGACGGGTAAGCTAGTACTTAATAAAACTTTTAAACTTTATATTAATTCACTACGTGTATCAGTTTAAATATTATATCCGCACGTTTTATTTTTGGACTAATTTATAATTAAAGTTGAAATAATTAATTGTTAGAAAATTAAACCGAAAGTCAAAGCAGAAGAAAACGTACACGATTCATAACGAAAGAAAAATATAAAAATAAAAGAAGTAAAAGTAATTTTAAAAACTTGTAAATTTGTATCGATAAAAAAGCACGAAATGTGTCTCCGCGAGTACTTTGTTAACAATAATTCTCTAACTTAATATCAACTTAATAGCTGAAAAGTTCTCAATAAATGAAATTATAAAGACACCCGTCTTTGTAATTTTACTTTTTGAGGTTATTTCTGGTGTACTGTGCCATCTTCTGTCACTGTGTAATGTACTGTACCGTACAATGTAGAATACAGCCGAATAGAGAATAAGGTTAAAAATTGCAGCAGATTTTTTTACATGTGTTTAGAGCAAATGAGAGTTCGAATGAAATTTAACTAATTCAAATGCGCGTCATCCTATAAAAAGTAAACATAGGTAAATTCGAGTTTTTACTTGTTTACGCTAAACTACTTGTTAGGACTAGGATCGGAATAAAATTAAAGCTTAACCGCACGGCCATCTCGCCGTCTACCCATGATGGNTCCCGATGAAAACACCTCGTCTGTCATCGATTATCTGGAACAGAGATATCCAGAAGTTACAGAATGGTCAGTGCAGAGACAGGCACGCGAGGAAGGACTGGAAGAGGAGTGTAAATCGATTCTGAAAAGGGGGAAAAAGAAGTCTTGGTGGAAGAAGATCTTCTTCTTCTGGAAGAAATAAATCAGCAAGGTCTTCTCATCGGATGCGACTTCCCCCCGATTGTGACTTTTTTTACCCGGATATGGACTTTTACCTGGCTATGAGCTAATGACCGGACGCGATTTCATTCATCGGATATGACTTTTAATGGCAGTTTGGAGTCTTCCCTTTCCTGCTGACGGTTCTTGGAATGATACATGTCCTTCGTCATCGCTTACGAGGGACGTGTTTTTTCACTTCAGTTAATTAAAGTCGACGGTGACAACTTAGCACCGTCTTCGGTCGTTTGAAATTTCTCAACTGAGGATGAAATTCTGACCGGAAAATAATGGATTTTCGCCAGCAACGTGCGTGCCATCACTGGACACCCGAATAAAAACAAAAGGGAAATATCTCAGTTAGCATATGGCTAAGCCAAAATTATAATTATGTTGAACAATTAAATGTGTATACAAACTTTTCTATATATATAAAAATGAATGTATGTGCGTGTGTGTGTGTGTGTGTCCTTCATGCATTACCACACCGTTTATCCGATTGCCGTGAAACTTTGGAAAGTTTTTTAATACACTCCCGCGAAGTACATTTATCCTACGATAAATGTACTTCGCGTTTACATGAGCATTTACATGAGCACGCGTTTACATGAGCATTCGAGCACTGTGTTCGATCCATTTCAAATTGTGAAAACCATTTCCCCCCTCCAAAAATATCTCTATATATGCATTTATTATTTACGATATTTGTAATAATTTTTGTTTAATCACTTTATTTTAACTTTTTTTTGCTAATTATGTATTCGCTCGAACTTCGTTAAAACCTTAACTGTATCCCGAACAACAACCGAAGTTGTAGGAGGAAATTCGCCTATTTTACCGATCTAGGATCCCCCTTTTTCAAATTTTAATATCGACTCAAAATAATTTAAAAAGACAAATTACAATAAAACGGTTTATTATCCAACTATCAGAAATTTCACAACACGCCAAGGAAGAGAGAAAGGAGCAATTAAATAATCAAAATTATAAAGGATTTTAAAAAACGTATAAAAAGGAGGAATATCGCACTTTTAACAATCTCTGTGAGTATGTGGGCTAAATTTAAAGAATCCGTGCTTCTCACATGTACAGTACAACTGCATGTGACCTGTTCACGCGTCGGAAAACCTGATTTATTCGTGTACGCATCAGATGGAAAAACAAAAAATATCGTGTATCCACAAGCACTCCAATAAATAAATAGAATTGAAACGACACTTTGAAATGTTTTCCCGATAAAAATGAATAATAATAATAAGTTTCAATAAAAATTATAAAATGTAAATTGAATTTTATCATAACGAGTTTGCTTGAATTTCCTTCTGAGATCGCAGCAATGCTCGACGGGTAAGCTAGTACTTAATAAAACTTTTAAACTTTATATTAATTCACTACGTGTATCAGTTTAAATATTATATCCGCACGTTTTATTTTTGGACTAATTTATAATTAAAGTTGAAATAATTAATTGTTAGAAAATTAAACCGAAAGTCAAAGCAGAAGAAAACGTACACGATTCATAACGAAAGAAAAATATAAAAATAAAAGAAGTAAAAGTAATTTTAAAAACTTGTAAATTTGTATCGATAAAAAAGCACGAAATGTGTCTCCGCGAGTACTTTGTTAACAATAATTCTCTAACTTAATATCAACTTAATAGCTGAAAAGTTCTCAATAAATGAAATTATAAAGACACCCGTCTTTGTAATTTTACTTTTTGAGGTTATTTCTGGTGTACTGTGCCATCTTCTGTCACTGTGTAATGTACTGTACCGTACAATGTAGAATACAGCCGAATAGAGAATAAGGTTAAAAATTGCAGCAGATTTTTTTACATGTGTTTAGAGCAAATGAGAGTTCGAATGAAATTTAACTAATTCAAATGCGCGTCATCCTATAAAAAGTAAACGTAGGTAAATTCGAGTTTTTACTTGTTTACGCTAAACTACTTGTTAGGACTAGGATCGGAATAAAATTAAAGCTTAACCGCACGGCCATCTCGCCGTCTACCCATGATGGGCTTTAAAAAGGCCATCTAAGTCACTACAGGATGGAGAGAGTAAAATAAAGAAGAAAGCTTTTTTGACGTAATTTTATTCAATATTTATTAATGATTACATTTGAATCGTGTATTCCAAGAAAGATCCAACTCCACAAGTTTCTTTTTGGAAAATAAAACTTTTTACATTTTAGAATTAGACTAATTACTTAAACATTTTAAAAAATATACATTTTCATATTTATGATCGACGTATACATGTATAACAAACTCATTTTTAAAAGCAGGAAAAAAAATACCTGATAATGGAAAGTTTGGGCTTGTTTTGGAATCTGACACTAACGAATAAGTTCAAAATAGATACAAATAATGCACTGATCAAAACAATTAGCGGAGCACGTGACTGCGCTAATCGAGGAGTGACAAAGAATTGTCCACCTCTTATCCCACATCACACAAATGTGCAGCAGTTTTGGATCATACAACCCACTAAAGTCAGCACAATACCCTGTAATTACTGGCAATTTAACCTAGCTGCAAAGTATGTCTTAAAATTAATAAGTGTTTTCCGTTGCTTGATTAATTATTATTTATCTTATCATTATGGGTACGTTTGTAAAGTCGAACGAGTTAAACGAGAATAACGTCACCGTTATTCTTAATTCGTTAGACTTTTCGAACGATTCGTTTATAACTAAATGGCTGTTTCTAAAATCGAAGATAGCCTATTAATGTTGCTAGTGCAGTCTTATCCCAAATATTTTTCTTAGATTGCTTCGGGTGGACAGTTATTTCTATCATCTCACCTTTTAATTCACAGTTTAAACACTCGAGAAGATTTAGAAACATCGATATCGTCGGCCGCCATTTTCTTTAACGAAGTGAACTAACCCTTTCCTTCGTGAACTTCGTTAGAGTTTCGTTCGAAACGTCATCACAGCAGAACATGCCCACTGAGCGAGACTACTACTTTTAGAACGATTCGTTACTAACGCGTTTAACTCGTGCGACTTTACGAACGTACCCTATGTGAGTATCTTTATTGTAAATATATTGAATATATAAAATTTCCTAAATTTTCTTTATTCGGTTTAATTATGTTTTCATAATCGGAATGATTATTCTAAACTTTTTTATATCTAAAAAAATTTTACACAATAATTTTAATCCTATACAGTATACCAGTGTTTTCCAACTTGTATCGTACAAACTCTTTGGAGCTTCTATAAACGTTGCGGCTTACCAGTCTAAAGACCGATCCTTTTTATGCATTTATTCAAATAGTATTTTTATTTCTATAGAATATTTGTAAAATTATGAGTTTTTGTTTTCGTAAGTTTAACCTATTATCAAAATTTTTACAAATCAACCGTAATATATTTTAAATTTTAAACATTTTTGTTTTAAAAATTACATTGCTTGTTAAATTTGTTAAATTCAAAGTGTGTCGCTAATCCAAAAAGGTTGGGAAACACTGCAATATACTGAAGAATGAATCGTTGAGTCGTAATGCATTTGTATGTATTCGATTAAATATCATATAAAATCCAGTTTTGGTGATGTTCTTTGTGTATTGCCTGAATCTTGTTATTTTGGTTTTTGCAGAAACTTCTACTATTCTTCAATTATAAAAATTAATACTTATCATTTTAGAAACAGTCACGTAAAATTGATGGCGCGCAAAGACGAATGTGTTGTTTCGTACAATCGAATACGTCACATGTACAAATTTCCAAACAGATGAATATATGTACTGTACCAAACCTAACTTTTATTCATATAAAATAAATTAGTTTACAAAATTTCTTTGCAAAAGAAAATAAATAAACTTATTTCAAATATATTTCTATATTAACACGTTTGTATTCTCTTGACTGTATGAATTGCTATTTTCGTCAGAATTGACGCAGCGATTTATTTCTGCCATCGTTTATTATCTTTCAATAATAAAAAGGCTAAAAAATAAATAATGATATAGTCATTATTATGTTTCTATATATTATAAAAACGAAAAATAATATACAAATTATTTTTAATACTAAAATAATTGATTAAAATAAATTAAATCAGATCATGTTAGTCTACTTCAACAATAAAAGGATACTTAATAAGCTTAATTTAGTATAGTAAATCAATTTCTTATCATAATTTTTATTAAAAACTATTTTAACATTTTAGTGATAAAAAATAATTTACAGGTTTAATTTAATTTATGTTTCATTAAATTAATACAGACATTAATTCAAATTCAAAATTGAATAATTATCTTACAAATGTCAAAATTTCTTTTTGCTCTTTCAGGTTCTTCATCATACGATTGTTCTTCATAATCCGGTTGTTCTTCATCATCAGATTGTTCTTTATCAACCGATTGTTCTTCTTCTCCTTAAAATTGTTAAAAATTTACATAAAATAAATTTTAATTTTAGTAAGAAATAATATACTTTGATCTGGTTTTTCATAAAGTATCATATATACAAGGTATGTTTAATTATTCTACATAATGTTAATTGATTGATACGAGCATCTCTGATAACGGATTCACTGCCGCTACGAAAAATTTAACACATTGTAAGCAATTACTATTCGTTAGTGCAGTATGTGGTCTCTTACAGGGGCGTAGCCACGGAGGGGCAGGGCGTAGCACTTGCCCCCTGGCTCATTTGATAGTCAAACGGTTCAATGTCTGGATGGTCTGTGGTAAGACTCGAAGATTATAGAATGTTCAAAATTCAAATTTAGCGAAAAAGTTCTAGTACCTTCTGTTCCCTATGTAAGTGCTGCAATCAGTTCGAATGACTCAGTTGAGTGAGTTCGCACATTTGAGCTTGTTCAGAACATACAACGAGCGAGGTGTATTTGAAACGTCATTGCGTCTTTGAGCAATACCGGATTTATTACGTCGTTTTAAATTAATAAGTGCTATATTTATTTCTATTGCATGTTGTAAGGGTTTTAATAAATCCGTTAACGTTTTTCGCGCGTTTATTTAATTTTTGGACGGCAATCCCGTAACAATAACAATCTAAAATGAATATTAGAAACTTTTTTTAGCACGAAAGGTATGTATCTATATTACTTTCATTTGAGTCGATGAGTCGCAAAGCAATCTAAAGCAACCTAAAATCTTCAGGAAATGTGAAGACTNTTTAACCTATTATCAAAATTTTTACAAATCAACCGTAATATATTTTAAATTTTAAACATTTTTGTTTTAAAAATTACATTGCTTGTTAAATTTGTTAAATTCAAAGTGTGTCGCTAATCCAAAAAGGTTGGGAAACACTGCAATATACTGAAGAATGAATCGTTGAGTCGTAATGCATTTGTATGTATTCGATTAAATATCATATAAAATCCAGTTTTGGTGATGTTCTTTGTGTATTGCCTGAATCTTGTTATTTTGGTTTTTGCAGAAACTTCTACTATTCTTCAATTATAAAAATTAATACTTATCATTTTAGAAACAGTCACGTAAAATTGATGGCGCGCAAAGACGAATGTGTTGTTTCGTACAATCGAATACGTCACATGTACAAATTTCCAAACAGATGAATATATGTACTGTACCAAACCTAACTTTTATTCATATAAAATAAATTAGTTTACAAAATTTCTTTGCAAAAGAAAATAAATAAACTTATTTCAAATATATTTCTATATTAACACGTTTGTATTCTCTTGACTGTATGAATTGCTATTTTCGTCAGAATTGACGCAGCGATTTATTTCTGCCATCGTTTATTATCTTTCAATAATAAAAAGGCTAAAAAATAAATAATGATATAGTCATTATTATGTTTCTATATATTATAATTTTCGTCAGAATCGATGCAGCGATTTATTTCTGCCCTCGTTTATTATCTTTCAATAATAAAAAAGCTAAAAAATAAATAATGATATAGTCATTATTATTACAGTAAATGTTTCTATATAATATAAAAACGAAAAATAATATACAAATTATTTTTAATACTAAAATAATTGATTAAAATAAATTAAATCAGATCATGTTAGTTCACTTCTACAATAAAAAGATACTTAATGAGCTTAATTTATTATATTAAATCAATTTCTTATCATAATTTTTATTAAAAATTATTTTAACATTTTAGTGATTAAAAATAATTTAATTAATTTATGTTTTATTTACTTTGAATACAAACATTAATTTATAATAATTCAAATTGAAAATTGAATAATTATCTTACAAATGTCAAAATTTCTTTTTGCTCTTTCAAGTTCTTCATCATTTGATTGTTCTTCTTAAAATTGTTAAATATTTATATAAAATAAATTTTAATTTTAGTAAGAAATAATATACTTTGATCTGGTTTTTCATAAAGTATCATATATATGTTTAATTATTCTAGATAATGTTAATTGATTGATACGAGCATCTCTGATAACGGATTAACTGCCGCTACGAAAAATTTAACACATTGTAAGCAATTACTATTCGTTAGTACAGTATGTGGTCTCTTACAGGGGCGTAGCCACGGTTGGGCAGGGTGTGGCACTTGCCCCCTGGCTTATTTGATAGTCAAACGGTTCAAAGTCTGGCCNCAGGAGGCAGATTTCTTTGAAGTCGGAATTAAAAAATTTTTGAGCGGTATGAGAAATGTTTGAACAAAAATGGAAATTATGTAGAAAAGTCGATAAAAGTATTTAGAATATGGGAAAAAAATACATTTTAATGATATTTACAGTATTTTTCTTCTTATTAAAAACGGACCTTATTTTAAAAATAGCCCTCGTATTAATACGAGGGCTATTTTTAAAATAAGGTCCGTTTTTAATAAGAAGAAAAATACTGTAAATATCATTAAAATGTATTTTTTTCCCATATTCTAAATACTTTTATCGACTTTTCTACATAATTTCCATTTTTGTTCAAACATTTCTCATACCGCTCAAAAATTTTTTAATTCCGACTTCAAAGAAATCTGCCTCCTGCCGCCGGAAGACATTAGGCCGCTTGTCTTGTATGGCACGACGGAGTTTTCTGAAGGTCACAATAAACATCAGAATTGATTGTTGTACCTCTTGGCATAAAATCCACTAACAATGTCCTTTCCTGTCCCAAAAAACAGTTACCATGATCTTTCGTGCTGAAACCGAATAACAGATCGTATCTTACAGTCAGCTGGTGACTCAGTTTTCTTAAACATTATGAACTTCTACAGTTTAGCACACAGACAGGCGATACGGCTGCAAATGGCATCTAAACACCCGCAAAGCATGCTGAAAGCAGATGCTCATGCATACCGCTGCACTCGCGCGTCATTTTCACTCTCATTCACAAACGGACCTTATTTTAAAAATAGCCCTCTTATAATAGTGATTTTGATGTTGTCTTTATTATTGAAATTTTAAGAAAATTCATACAATACTATTAAGGAAATAATAACAAGTATATCACACTCCAATAATTTTAAATAACGATTGAAAATTGTAATTAGCTACTTTTGCAGCAGTTTTGCATAATTAGATGGTTTTGAAATGGTTGATTTTGCAACTAGCAAAAGTAGCTAGTTGCAAATAATAAAACAAATTTGTACAAATTATAGAAGGTTTTTTAAGGTTGAAATTGCTAGTGTATAGAGTCCGTTCAAAAGCTTAAATTCTTAGTTCTTTTAATTTTTTTGAAAAAGTGTAGTAGTAGTAGTTATTTATTTTCTTTTAGGAAGACAGAAGAGGAAGCAACCAGTTAAAAGATAGCGAACGTGATAGCGGCAGAGAAGAGAAATCAAAGCAGAATGTTGGCGCTTGCACAACTGCACCTACACCTGCACTTATTGCTGTTTTAAGTGTATCGAGTGGATCCTCGCTACATTACATTTTTACATCTTACTTTTTAATATAAGGTAGCCAATAACATCGTTATACCTCATATTAAAAAATTTTCGTGTGTCCAGCTCTTAGAGATTAGTTTCGCTATTAAATTCAACTCTATGTTTAAATCGATATTAAACATGCCATTCGAAAATTCTATAAATTATTATTAACAATGAGAATACGGGTGAGGGTCTAACCCTCAAGTCGTCGGATCGGTAGGATTCGCTCACTCCGTCAGTGGATGAATTTAAGGGCCTTAGCGTTTTAGCGGAGAGAGCCGTGGTAAGCTGGGATGTCCGTATAAAAATCAAATGAATACGACAGGTTAACAAATAACAAGAGTTTTATGTATATAAGAATTAGCTACATGAAGAAATAATCTATTGCTAAATCGAACGTCACTTATGTACTGTACTGTACATCTCTAAATACCGAGAGAGAGTTTACAACGAATATAAGTAGAATACCTCTATGCAATGTCTCCAGATCCGGGTTATACGAAAGTCGGAAAGACGATCGTGGATCTTCACAGCAGTGAGATGAGTTGTTCATGAGAATGGCGGGACGGGAGTCTGGGGGTCACCTGCAGTTATGGTGGAATCCCTCTTCTCGGGAAATGTCCGCGCCGAGATTGCGAGTCTTCCATTTTTATTCTAAATTCCCCTCCAATAGGAGTTTAGGATTTGTATCATCTAGTGGGATATTTGTCCTGACACATACGGACAGATGTTGGTCGAAGATGTGCGATAACATCTCGCCACGGGAAATCGTCATTCGAGAAAGGAAGTTTGATTTCCCTTTTGTTACAAAATTTATAATAATGCGTCGTTTTTAATATTAATTTAAGTTTGAAAATTTTTCTTACTAAAATAAACTTATTTTGTCTCCAGATTCTCATATTAACCATTAAATTTCTGATTCGATCATCTTATTCATTTGTGTCATAAAACATTAAGCCAATTCACTCAGTTATACATTTTAATCATTTGAGTGAATTCGCCTTTCTTTACTGTATTCTAATAATATTAAACATTTTCTTACCTGATTCATTGTTATCGTCAATAGTAGACTGAAATTTCGAACTTTCTTCTTTTATTTCACCAGCTTCCGGAAATGTCTGTACATTAGGATCATAAGGGCGTGGATCATTAATAACAATATTTATCTCGTTCTGCCGAGAATCTTTTCTTATTGAATGCGGGCTTACTGAGTGAGTGACTTTGGGTGGACGAGTGGTTTTGGGTCGAGTTGTTTTGGGTAGACGAGTGATTTTGGGTGGACGAGGACGATTTTTTCCTGCCAAAACCAGATAATATAATATAAAACTTTATATCTGCAAAATTCTATATTTCTCTATATATAAAACAGATACTTTATAAGCAATACAAAACTACATAAAAATACAATGAAATTATAGAATAAACTATGAATTCTACAATAGAGAGGTTGGGGCCGACGTTTTCAACGCGAAAACGTGTACTTCGGACGTTCAGTGCCTTCCTGTGAGTATAGATGTTCGACAATGGTGTTTGGATAGTCAGTGGAATCATGCTCGACATTCCAAACACCATTTTCAAACTTCTATACTCACAGGAAGGCAGCGCTGAACGTCCGACGTACACGTTTTCGAGTTGAAAACGTCGGCCGCAACCTCTCTAATAATTCAAAAACTGAAGTTATACCAAAGATAATTACTGTATTCGTTTTTAGCATAAGCGAAACAATTTACAATTTTTATATAATATCCAACGACTGTTTATGGTTTCATTTATTGCCTTTCTTTCTAAACGGATGGCAATATTTCATAATGCATTGTAATATTTATTATTTATGATTATTTTTTATTATATTACTGTAGAGCGTCGTTTATCCGAAAGTCGGTTATCCGAAAAAATTCCAGTCGGCAAAATTAAATTTTCACCAGTGCTGTGGCGCTGCAATCTTTGGCTATGTCTTGGGCTACTCAAATATTTTACGTTTTTGATACTAAATTAACTTCTGAAGTATAATTTTTTATTGTTTTTATATTTTTCAATATATTTATTTTGTTTCTACAAAATAAAACAATAATTTTTTATTTATTTATTACAATAGTCCTCGTTAGGCTTAACAACGACGAAAATTCAACGCGAAGCGACACGCAACGGAAAAAGATTTCAACACGGAAAAGGTTATTTTTTCGTACATAATCGGTTATCCGAAAAACAAGTTATCCGAATGACCCCAGTCCCCAATTGATTCGGATAAACGACGCTCTACTGTATTATTATTAATATTAACTCGTTCGTTTAGATCGAATCGCTTCCATGCTACAGAGAACAATAGACCAAGAACAACTCTAATCCGGTCAATATGACTGCTTTTAAAGCAACAGATTTTCGGGTGTCACCTGCACTACCCCTTTATTCTCTTATTTCATAAAATATGGCTGGGTTACTAGATTGCGAGATTGAACCACAAGTAGAAGATTGAGATATTGGTAGGACTCTAGGCTCTAGATTCTACTCTTGAGCAACTTACTACTTCTTGGGCCACTTTAAAAATAATTTAGGCAACATTTCGAAGAATTCAGCTTTACTTTTTATAAAACCTATCTGCCACCTGTGAAGATCTCATCGGACATGTCCTGTTTATCTGCAGTTTATTTATACTATTATTAACTAACGAAAACAGAGTTCTGTATAAGTAACCGCATTCTGTTTGCTTAATAAATTACTTCAGTTACATGGCATTTGGCATATTGTACAGAAATATGTAAATCTCGGATAATTCGAAATCGCGAATATTTCGTCCCCTGAATTTCGAACTAACGAGGATTTCCTTATCTAACTGGAACTGCAGCGCTCTGTTGCAGCAGCTCCAGTTAGATACTATAGCTCCTTAGATATAGCTCCATCACTCTGTTCTGGAAGAAAGTTTGTTTTCACATTGAACTTGACGTTGGAAAAGAAGGCAAAGATAAATCTATATACAGTATAAAATTGCTTGTCCTGACTGAATGACACTGATTCATCATCGCCCAGAGCAAACCGCTGAACCTAAAGAGGTGACATTTGGTACACAGTTAGGGTACGTCATGAAAACGCACACTAAGAAGGGATTTTTCGAAATTCCCCAGTGGGGGAAGAGGGAGAGCATTAAGTTTTGACCGAAAAAACGGCTCCTACTGTACTATTTTACATGCGATTTTATGTTACGTTTAGTCTTCATTAAGTACTTAAGTGTATTAAATTAATAACATTTCAGACATTGTTATAAATATTTTTATACATTTTGATTTTTTAACCAACTCGAACCTTTTATGGCTGTGAAATTTTTGATGCAGTTCCGTATCGAAAACTGTACCAAAAATGGTGGAAGCATAAATACCGTCACGATCCATTATATTGTCCCTGTCGGGTCAATACGAAAAGTGAAAAGAGTTCGATGAGAACAATGTATTAACTAGGGAAAGGGGATGGGAAAAATGCCTGACTGGGACAAATGGCCAGACTATTAACCACAATAGTACCACGTCATGCTTTACGGGGGACTATCTAGTTGTAAATAAAGTTGTTAATGGAATAGAATTTATAGACGATATTAAGCATTCAACGAAAACTATATAAATCTATGAAATAAGTGTAATATTAAAATTACCTTTGCTCCGTCTTAATCTTCCGATTTGAAATTAAAAATTAACTGAATTAAAACAAACTTTTTTATAATATAAACTATCTTGCATATATAAATACTTACTCTGAACACTGTATCAAACATATTATAAATAAAATGACTAACAAAGCACCGATTTTCATTTTAAGCGTAGGAAAATTATTGGCTATAGCAGATGAATTCAGAAGCTCAAGCGAAGATAAAATATAAAATAAAAATGTTTTGGGTGTTTGCGTTTTATATACACCATATTTATTCTAATAAACAGCGCAACCGCATAATAAACGAAATTATATTCAGCTCCCTCTAACAGAAAGCACGCTGTTTACAGAGGAAGATAGGCTTATTTTAGAGAAAAATTGCACATTCTATTTAGTGTTGTTACTCTTACAATCTGCGGCGTATCTACATAGGGACTAATAGGGGTCACCAAGAGTCATGGGCCCACAAAAATTGAATTATTATCATAAATTTTTAATACATTTTCACCTATCGTTCAGTAAAAAATAGTTAATATTAATAATGTTAATTTATTTTATTTTATTTAAAAATTTTGTTTGTTTATACATTTTTGTTAATAATATTCTTTTATTTCTTATGTATTTTATATACGATGTGAAGTTTGTTATTCAACACCATTTCATAAATAAATATATTTCAACTCTGATTTTGATGTTATTAAAAATGAATTTTAAACCAGTTTAAAGATTCTGAAACTAACAAAAAATAGGGTCCCATTGGACTTCAATAAGCTTTAGGCTCCGAAAAACCTAGATCCGACACTGCTTACACTATACTAAAATAAACAGTGAATGTGCTGAGTGTTCAAGTAATAATAAAGTTAAAAGATTTATTTCTTTAATAGTCGCCCTCAAATAATAATTGCATTCAATTATCAAAGTATAGAAATAATAGTCGATCTCTAATAGTAAGCATTTTTAAATAAACAGCACATTGAATACTTGAGATTATTAAAGTTATAGACAATTCTATTTATAAGAAAATTACGATATTTCAAAATCACTTTCAGATTATTGAAATGTATCCAGTGGCGAATCTACTAAGAAATTAATGAAGTTTAAGCTTCAGGGCTTATAAGCCCTAGGGACCTGAAACAACTTTCTTTTAATGGATGAATTTTTCAACAGAATCGATGCCGCTTTTTAAGTGTATGTTATTAAAATAAGACTATTTTGGTAATAGAATCATAAGACATTGGGTTGAAGCACCTTTAGTATATTCAATAATATCCATTTCATATGGCCTCAAAATAAATGTAGTCGTAAATTAAATACTGTATATTATAGAAATTAATAATAACTTTTTTTTCTTAAAGCGAAAAATCAATAATTGAATGTTAGAAAAGAATTTACCGATATTTTTCTATTTATTTGTTAAATATTATTTTATTGTCTGAAATGATAAAATAATACTGCAATGATATTTTATTTTTTTAAACGATTTATATTATTTAAAGGATTGTATCATTATACAGCAGACCCTCTATAACACTGTTGATAATTACGTGTTATATGAATTCCATGTTGTACGAGTCACTTAGATTTTAGAAATACGTGAGCCGTTCACAGCCCGGCACACGTATTTGTACGTATTTATACACGTATATATGTATAAAAATGCATATATACACAGTCTTGCATTTTTATTAGTGATGTTTTTCTAATTGTGGGGGTTAAAAAATCTGTCTAATGTCGATTGCTTTTTTCTTTTCTTCAGGATTTTTTTGAAGTAATTAATAGCATTGTAATTGTAGAGATCCCCAAGCCTATTAACCTTAACCTAGTTTGGATGCCATTCTAAGACCGTCGTTCTGACATTCTCCCACTTTTTCAAAAGATTTTTAATAAGCAGATATCGGCATTAATCCTCTTTTTCAGAAGAAAACATATCTTGCCGAGTTTCTTGGTGTTCTTCATTTAAGAGTTCTTGGCATTCTTCTGTCGTCAGATCCGTTTCAGGTTCTACTAAGAGCTCATCAATGTTCTTTATTTCTCAGATGTGATTTTTGTTGCTCTTTTAGCTACTCGAGTCTTCTTAATTATACTGTATCTTAGATAAGATTGAACTGCGGCCTACTGTAGACCTGTTCAAGCCATAGTGCCCAGCAACATCAGACATCTTCTGCCCCCTCTCTATCTTTGCTATTACACTCTCACATTTCGAAAATAAATTTAACGAGTGCCCGCCCAACACTCTCGGGAATACTATAAAACAATTGTTTCTCTCAGAAAAATAAAAGGCTAGAATTACAAGGGAGAGAAGAAGCAACGTAAAATAATGAATCCCGATTGGTCTTCTTTTATCTTCAGGCAACAATCCGAAACTTTTCGGAGCGTGGGAGACGTCGACAACGACACTCAACCCGGCATATACCCGGTATTACCCCGGTCATCTGCCCACTCTCTACGTTTGCTACTATACACTGACTTCCGAAAATAAAAACCGACCCAGAACTTAACGAGTGCCTTCCCGACATCCCGAGAATTCTCGTATAAAAGAATTGTTTCTGTCAGGAAAATTAAAGGCTGGAATTTCAAAGTTCAGAGGAATACTATCCGGTCTGTATATACCGGATTGTCGCCTGAAGACAAAGGAAAACCAATTGGTATTCATTATTTTACGTCGCTTCTTCTTCTGTTTGTTCTGTGAGGTGTTCGTTGTCCGAACATAAAAATATTTTTTCGAAAGTGTTCATTATCCGATTTGTTCGTTAACCGACCGATCACCCAATGTATAATGCCACATCTATTTTGTCTATTACGGAAATCTGACATTTAATTAAATTGAATAATATCAATACATGATCAATGATAATAACGGGTTATCCGAATTTCTCACGAATATCACGAAAGCTCGATTTCGATCTTTGTATTTTTCTTTAAGTCAATCATTGTGAAATTTGAAAAATTTGTATCGAAATTCTTATTAAATAATATCTCTAATTATTTTCTAAACACATGACCGTTGTCTTTTATTTAGTGTACGCAATAAATTTATAATTCTTCATTTTTTGAAATATAGTAGGCCAATACAAACCTCGCTAAGTCAATGTTAGTGCATGTGGTATCGGCATCTTGGAAAACAAACGTGAAATTCTTCTTTAGAATTTTCAATCTAATGAGTACAGTTTCGAGTTTATTATTTAGCCTAAGTACAAAAGAAAACAGTTTAATCACACTAAGAATTTTTTAAATGCACTAATCAGTTATTTAGACGAAAATAAATTTTGTTATAATGCTTAGTTACTGATCTCGTATCTGTCAGAAACATTTCATTATTTTTAAAAATTTGTAGTAAAATCTTGATAGCTGTTGAAATAACTGCAGTGCTTTACCTTGGGCTTGCTGATCTGAGGGGATCCCGGATTCGATTATAAAAATACTGATCTCGACACATTATATCTTATATTAAAATAGCTTTTTTAAATTTAATATCTGTACAAAATATACGAGTGATCTATTATTTTTTTTTTAAATTTCGTGTGTTTTTTCTGTTTTTAAATTCAAATGATATTGTTTTCAACAATTTTCATTAATTAAACAAAAATTATCCAAATATAATTCAAACATTAGAATCAAATTTCGAGATAACTTAAACGAAAATTAGATTCGTATTATTTTAAAAAATTTGCCATCGGATATTGTGTTTATTCGGATGCAATTTAATATAAAAAAGTTTAAAATAAAATTCATGTAATTAGAAATCTTGTGGAACTACATTATTTTAATCAAAACGTTTAGTTTTTAATTTCTTCTATGGATTCGAATAGCTTAGATTGTTATTAAATTTTTAATCAATTAAGCAGAAAAATGTAAAACTTTTCAGAAAACATGCAAGTCTTTCTCATGTGAAGTCTAGAATAAAATATGTTTATTCGGATGCAATTTAATATAAAAAAGTTTAAAATAAAATTCATGTAATTAGAAATCTTGTGGAACTACATTATTTTAATCAAAACGTTTAGTTTTTAATTTCTTCTATGGATTCGAATAGCTTAGATTGTTATTAAATTTTTAATCAATTAAGCAGAAAAATGTAAAACTTTTCAGAAAACATGCAAGTCTTTCTCATGTGAAGTCTAGAATAAAATATGTTTANCTACATTATTTTAATCAAAACGTTTAGTTTTTAATTTCTTCTATGGATTCGAATAGCTTAGATTGTTATTAAATTTTTAATCAATTAAGCAGAAAAATGTAAAACTTTTCAGAAAACATGCAAGTCTTTCTCATGTGAAGTCTAGAATAAAATATGTTTAGATAAGAAAACTTGCTTTGAGAAAGGTTTATAATCGACATAAGAGATCAATCAATTAACCATTGGTTTTCTGATTAATAAACAACAAGTTCTTGAGCGACATCTACTTCTGCATGCTTTTTTCTCTGTTCCACCAATGTTCTCATTCACTAGTTTCACGCAATTTCACACAAACTGAAATTATTATTTAAAAATAAAGTGAGTAACTTTTATTAGAATGAGTTGAATAGTTATTTAACTGTGAAACGAACATTATAAATCCAGCAACGATTTGCCTAACTTTCCCAGTGAAAAATATTTACATTCAAGAAACACGTTAGCATAGATTCAAATTTTGTATGGCGCCAATCGTTATGAGATTATTTTAAAAATATGATTTATATTAATTATAATAGATTTTTTTTAAAATTTCGAAACAAATACGTTTAGTTTTGGTAAACTAAAAATTTGTAATAGTAAAAAAATTTCGTAACTTGAGAGCTTTTTAGTTTGGCCTACATTCTCTTAATGTTTTTCCATCTAGTTGCACGATTTCCTGAAACATTCTAGAAATATTTTTCCTAATACACAAACCTCCCTGCATAATTTTAGAAACTTCCGACAAAAAAGTTATTAACCTTTAAATTGGGTAAAAAATCATGCTCCTTCACAAATAAACAGTAACATTTATATATACAGAAAAAACCCAACTTATTTTTATTTCTCGAAGTTTCAAGGTCTCTTCAGTCCAAAAATTTAAAAATAAAAAGCAAGCGAAATTTAAAAATAAAAATCAAGATACTGTCAGTAGTCAAACCAAGAGTATCAACGTACTCTTGGTTTGAGTACTGTCAGTATCTTGAGACATAGGAAATCACCTGCGGGAGATAAAATATTCCTGTTAATAACTCAGAAACCAAGACAGACCTTCGTAAGGTGATGCAATCTGCTATGTGTCAT